CACTAGAGGCTCACAAAATACCGTAATGTCTCCACCAATAATCCAAGCAACAACACAAATACAACCTCAAGAACAAAGAAACACCATAAATACAAGTAAGGCAACATGTACCACAAAGACAGGTCCACCGAATAAAGTTACACGTCCTAGCACAGTTAAAAAACACAAAACTCCTTCTTCACAGAAACACACCACGTTATCACAACCCACTCGTATTCAACCCAAACGCAAAGCCAAAGAAACACTTACACAATAAACTCCATTTAATAAAATTACAGGAATTATTATAATGATTTTTTTTGTTTTGTTTTGTTTTCCTCTTTCCTGATAGCGTTGGCTATTGTGCCCATCAATAGCTATGTTGGTAAGTATGAATTACATACTATCTCTAGATTTCCAATGTGAGTGTGTGAATTTTTATTTTTATTATATTTATTTTATTTTTTTAGGACCCTACATAACTTCACCAGACACAGACACAGACACTAATCGTTACTTGATTTTAATCCGTGCGATTAGTTAACCAGGCTAGACCTGAGTTCTCACAAGATACACCTGCCATAATAATAACTTTATTCCCTATAAAGACAAATATAATGCGTCACAGGATCGTCACAATAATATCAAAGCAAAAAACAATGTTTGGAAATTAAAAAGAGTCTTCGAAAAATTCACTGCACTGGTATAATTCAGTAAATAAATTTCTTGTTTGATTTTATGATCACTTACCTGTACTTTCCAATTCGTCCGCAATTCTTTTCCAAAGTTTTTCCAGTATAAAGCGATTTCTATGATTCTTGTCCCGTTGATCCCACAGTGGACGATGACGAAACACTACACCAATTAAACTCTCCGCCGATAAAGACATCGTAATTTTATTATGTTTTAATTGCAACGTTGGGTGAACTTTGGCACAGAACGTGTGCATATACACAAAACTGCATCCAGAAGTACGTGAAAAAAGAACACGTGTTTTTCGTCGTAAGCATAATAAAAGACCGTAAGCGGCCGATACTATCCGACCGCTATGTAAACCGCTTACAAATTCAAACATTTTTGTTTCTATCATTTCCGCTAGCTGCATCGCGTTGTGCAAAGCTATCTTCACGTCTTTACTATAAACGCCTCCATTACGTTTATAACGTTTGTTTACATGGAGGTGAACCTCGATCTGAACAGCGACGCTTACCTCGACGCTCGCCGCTTTACTATAAACTCAGACTTAGTAAATACATTTTCAAAGAGGCGAAAGAAAAACATCTTTAAAACAGAAAAACAATAAAAAAAAAGGTTGGGGAACGGAAGGCGTGGCCTACCAAGACTGGTAAAAAATCATTTTTAGTGATGAATCTCGATTTGATATCAGTGTCGGCGATAAGAGTTACCAGAACGGGAAACAAAAGCATTTCACAAAGATTGCTTAAAGCGTTCTGTAAAATTCCCCAATGGTGTAACGGTGTGGGGCAGTATGCAAATGGGCTGCGACAATTGCACTTTACAAATGGTAATGTTTATGCTCAGAAATATCAAGCAATTTTAGAACAAAGCTGATTGGCTTTACTTGCGACATTATCACCTGATGCAGACTTTGTTTTTCAACAAGACCGAGCATCATGTCAACACGGCATAAACCACTAAGAAATGGGTACCAGACTACAATAATAGTGTTTTAGAAGTGCCCTCAAGCAGTCCAGATGTCAATGTCATTGAGACTGTGACTTAAAATGAAGAAACGTTTGCGTATTCATCCGAAACGCAATATTGCTTCTTTGAGGGAAAAATTAGAAGAGATTTGGGATACGACGACCATGCCTACACGAATCTAGGCTGTTATTAAGGGCAAAGGGGATGTACCTCATTATTAAGAGGTGGTGTCCGAAAATTTTTGTGTCACTTTAAATTCTAATTTTATGGTGTTTTGTGTTATTTGACATTTGTAATTAATTAATTTTGCAACAAAATATAAAATGACAGTTACCTTGTGTAAGCCACCCTCTAATATACGAATGATTTAAATTTTATTTGAAAATAGGTAGTTTCAGCATATTTTTGAGGCTGCATATGTACGAAAACCGAGTTCTCATCATTCCCAAAATCGCATCAATATATACCAACTCGGGCTTTGTAAAGATGATATAAAGTTGATTTATTACCTTACATAACGGCCAATAATAAAAGCATTTGGTAAAAGTTCTACTTATACGTATTAGGTTGAATTCCCTATAAGCTTTAAGTAAAGCTCAGTTTCTATATTTTTACAGAAACATCTTTGACGGTGTAGCTTTTACTGGAAATGAAAGATTTAAAAGATATGGGCGGTCAATACGTTCAAAAGCTGCTATCAATACGTCACATTTCTCGTCAATCACTAAATACATTACATTATCTTTTGACTCCTACAAAAATTATGAGACAAGAAAAGATATTATCTAATGACTATTTAATCATTTGCAGCAAAACGTGATTAAAACCGTTAAAATTTGAGCAATAATTCAAAATTGCATGGCCATATTATAATAACTTCCTCAAACCAGTGAAACAGATGATTTGAGAAGCAATGCTTCCACACCTACTACACCAAAAGTAAAGGTGCGATAAGTGAAATTGACAGATTAACGCAGCGACAATTGGAGATTGAGGAAAACATCGATGACAACAGTAAGAGAAATTAGTTTAAAACACTTACTTACATCAACAGCTACACATTCCTTAAAGATATTAACAAAAAAAAATATATAACATTCTACAATCTACATATTCAAATCTTCTACCACTTATTATATTAGTATTCATATTTATGTATTAGTACAGTGCATTCGGGTATTTTGACATGGTTTCTTCATTTTCTGAAAAAGTGCTTGTATTGTATTTCGTATCCAACGTTGTAGTACGGCTTTAGGGCTTGTTCATTGATAGTTTGTTTCATTATCTTGATATTTGAAAACATCTGAGTAATTGGTATAATTTCTCATTTCAGGTGAATTCGAAAAAAGAAAAATGTGGAGTGTCACAGTTGAAACTATAAAATTCTAATTGTGACACTTTTCGGTTTTAAATGTGAAAACTAAAATTTTTCTGTCTTGGTAGAAACTACAATGTAGTGATTACCTATATAATGTACCATAAAACCCAAAACAAATTTTTTACAAAAATAAAATAAGAATTCTTGTATCAAAAAATATTAAAAATTCAATATACATTTAAATCATCAAATTTTATTGAAAAAAAATTTCTCTTTTCGTCTCCCTTCTGAGGGATTTGGTAAATTATTGTGATACAGAGTCAGTAAAGCTGCAGAGTACATCATCCGAAAGGGGAGACCAATCAATTGGAATGATTTTTTTAAGATCTTCTGGGGGAAATCTGCCCCCATTACATATGAAATATGATGGATGTCTTTTTTATATTTATTTTGCTTAATGATGTCAATTGGATTGCGCAATATCCCTTCAGACGAATACGCTTTCATCTTTTTTTTCATTATTCTTTGGTGTTTCAGCTCTTCTTTTTGGGCATTTCTGTAGGTATTATACAACAAAATAAATTATAAGATCAAATGAACTTACCTGTGAAATTTGATCATAATTATATGAAGGTCTCGACCGAGAAGATCAAAGTGGTAGTCTCTCTCTTTCCTGCTTGAACCACGCGATTTAAAAACAAAAAGCGGGGGAACGCGTCCTCTCTCCCAGGGTACACACGCTTTATATTCACTTATGCAAAGGAAAACAATTGTCGCTTCCTAGGGTGTGGGATGGGTGGGAGTGATCTTCTCGGTCGAGACCTTCATATAATTATGATCAAATTTCACAGGTAAGTTCATTTGATCTTATAATTATATTTCATGTCTCGACCTTCGAAGATCAAAGTGGTAGTTGTTTAAAGTTTATAAGACAATTGTTTTAACTTTTGTGTGGAAAATTGTGTTCATAAGCTTATGTCCGAAATAATCGCTACATATACAAGAACACATGAGAAAACGTTTATTAAGTGTGATAGTAAGATTCCACAACGAAAATTCCTACCCTAATTAACCAAAGACAATATCGCTAGTTTTATAACTAAAACTAAACTACGATAAGTAAAAAGTTACATTTGCGATGACAAAACGGTTTTTGCAAATCTATCGTTATTATCTAAAGGTCTGTCGTAAAATTTTGAGAATGTGGTGGAGATTGGTGCCCAGCCCGCCACTTTTTTAATTAGCTCTAAAGGAACTCCTTGTCTTTTAGCTAAAGATGTGGATGCATGTCTTATGCTATATGGTGTATATTTACAATTTATTCCACTTTTTTCAAATATTATTTTTACCCATATTGCACACAAAACAAGCGCGACTGGTTCGCAGCGCACGAAAAAGAGAAGTGAATATAAAGCGTGTGTACCCTGGGAGAGAGGACGCGTTCCCCCGCTTTTTGTTTTTAAATCGCGTGGTTCAAGCAGGAAAGAGAGAGACTACCACTTTGATCTTCGAAGGTCGAGACATGAAATATAATTCTGTTCTAATCATACATAAGTGTTCAATCACAAAGCTGTATTTAAACCAACACAGAGTTCGGTGCATAGTAAGGAATTGTTGCTATTTACTCCCACCGTTTTACGCGCTAAATTTAAAATAAAACTTATTGGTGTCACAAATTAGCAGACTCAACAAAAAACCCGAATGCGCTGTAGTTAAAAAGTTTAATAAATCTTAGTTTGATATTCGTGAAAGTGATTGCCTATTATTTATTTGTTTTTGTGGAATAAACATTAATATTTATTAATTATGGTCGTTGTTTCTTGTCAGAACTCAGGTCTAGCCTGCGTTAAACTATATTCGCTACGGATTTAAAATTCAAGTAACGATTATTATTATTATATGGATATTCCCTTTTTGCAATAGATATTAATAGGTATAGTACCGGGTGAATCATTAGAACTGATGACAGTTTGAATTTCGCCGCGTACAATTCTAGTGTTTTTTACGTGATTGAATTGGCGATGATATATTTTTAGTTATTTTACTACTTCATATTAGTCACCAGTGCCGTCGTTATTTCGTTAATTTGTTGTTGTTTTTAATTTACTTTTGCAAACTGTATTATCAACGTTCTTAAAAACAGTTCTTTTCAGAGCTACGCTGTAAATTCAAGAGTTTGTTGAAGTAAGTAATTTAAGTAACGGTTAAATCACACTAATTTGCATTTGTAGGTTCTTGAGGATGCCCTTCACACAAGAACAAGATGCCTTTATTTTGAAGGCTCATTTTGGAAGTGCTGTACGTAATGAAGATGGAACGTGGTCATATTCGTTCCGGTCCTGTCGAGAGCAATTTATGGAAGAGTATCCCGATGTTATTATTTCTTATAAAGCATTTGCCAATCATAAGACACGAATTGTGGACCGATTTGAAAACAAGAATTGCATTTGTAAAGAAAAACATACCGGTCGTCCATTACTACGAAACGATGAAGTGGTCCAAGATGTCAGACAACGAATGGAGGCGAGTCCCAAAAAGTCAATCCGTCAGTTAAGTGCCCAAGCTGGTAAGTGGTACACGTAGAATGAATTTATACCTACTAACTTTATTTTCGAATTACAGGAGTGTCTTATTCAACATGCCAACGAATTTTACATAAAGATCTACGTATGCACCCGTACCGGGTTTCTGTTTTGCAACAACTCCATGGTCTTGATTATGAGAATCGACGTAATTATTGTGATTGGTTTACTAACAATTTAAATAACAACGACGTTTTAAATGTAACTTTTATGACTGATGAAGCATGGTTTCATCTATCTGGATATATTAATAGCCAAAATTACCGAACGTGGGCAACCGAAAATCCTTATAATTTTGAAGAGACTAGTTTACATCCTTTAAAAGTTGGAATATGGGTCGGAATGTCTAGAAGACGTATCATAGGTCCCATTTTTTTCAACGATACTATTACGGCAGAAAGATATCGCACACAAATATTGGATACCTTTTTAAATCAACTTCACGACGACGAAATAAGGGAAGGATATTTTCAACAGGATGGAGCTACAGCACATACTGCACGGGCTACACTCCAGTACTTGGAACAATTTTATGACAATCGTTTAATTAGCAAAGGATTATGGCCTCCTCGTTCTCCTGATCTAACTCCGTTAGATTTTTTCCTATTTCCCACATTAAAAAACAACGTTTTTCGAAACCGTCTCCATACTCTTGATGAACTACGAGCAGCAATTATTGAGGAACTAGAAAGAATTTCACCTGAAACTCTGGAGAAAGTGTTTGACAATATGAAGCGTAGAGTGGAATTGTGCCGTGAACACAATGGTGGACATTTTGAGCAATTTTTATAGTTCATTTAATACAATTTTAATATCGTGACTGTGCTTAGTGCAAATGTAAAATTTGTTGTAAAATGGGAGACTTATTTCTAAATTAAAAATAAATTATTACCCTTGGAAAGTGATTCTACATACACCACTGGAATTAGACAAATGATATTCTGTTATTACCAACCTTTAAAATTTTTAGTTTTGCGGGACATTCAAACTGTCCTCAGTTCTAATGAATCACCCGGTATAAAC